AGTCTATCTGAAGTGTACCTGGCGTATAAGACGACCCCCCACTTGGAGGCATATTTTTCAGGGCCAAAAAATCGTCTTATACGCCGGCAAATACGGTAGTTCTGTCTAAGTTAAGTTTGAATTGGCTCAGATATCCCAGTGGAAATGTTGAGGAGGCAATTGTACATACAGACTCAGGGGGGAGGTTTGTGCTGGAGATTATGGATTTCAGAGTCATCAGTGATTACATTCTAAATGGTAGAACTGAAATTCAAATCCAGTTCAGTATGGCCCATGAGGCCCTGATCGATCACTTCCATAAAACCAGAGGGCTTCTTTGCTCCAGAACATCCACCTCCTTATTCCTGATGTGGGGGTTGATGTGGGCCTTTCAAGGGCAGAGCCAGTGTCTTTAGCACTTTGCATTCCCTCACATGCTGAACACATGAAAAATGAATGAATACATGCATGTCTAAATGAACAAACAAGGAGAAAATGGTTTTCAATCTTTAATCCTCAATTCCATACTCTAAAGATGGTACAAAGAAACAACAAGGTCTAGCTTGGAGCAGTTGAAGGGGCCTTCTGTGGCTTCCTCACCAATGACCTCCAGGATAATAAATCTAAAGGATTCCTCTAATTTCCCACCTTTGTAGACTGCTCCCCTTGACTTACAAGACATCATACTTTTCTGGTTTTCTTCTTATCTTTCTAAACACAGGCGTCTCTAATTTCCATCTCATAAATGTTGGCGATCCTCAGAATCCTGTCCTCCATCCTTTTCTCTTACTTATCTACACCTGCTCCCTGGGGCATCTCATTTACTCCTAAGGCTTCATGACTGTCTATATACTGATAACTCCCCAGTCAGTATCTCCAGCCCAGATCCTCACCCTCCTGGTTGCAGATCCATGTAGCCAACTAAAAAGGCAGGCTGGGGAAGAGAGGGTTGCAGCATTCTCCACTCAGATGTTTCACAGTCACCTTGAATTCAATGTATTGGAAATGAAACTCTTCATCCTCTTCACATTCTAGCCTGTTACCCCTCCGCTGGGTTCCCCATCTCAGTCAGTGGACATGTCAGCCACTTATTTATCAAACCAAGAATCAGGGAGGCAACCTTGACATCTCCCTCACCTCCCTTACCTATTCAATCAGTCTTCAGGTCCTCTTAAATATCTCTATGACACATATCCAAAACTATACTGATTTCTGCTCTCCCTAAACCTGTTCCCACTGCAGATGATTTTTTCACATCTCTATTACTTCATTATGATCTCTAGCCTGGATTATTTCAGTAGGTCCTAACTAGTTTCTCTGCTTCTACTCCCACCTCAGCTCTCAAGAGAGAAGCCAGAGTAATCCTTTTAAAATATAACTCAGGGGCCGGCCAAGTGGCTCTTTGGCTAAGTTGGCTTGGGACGCCAGCTCTGAGCAGCAGGACTCCGGTTTGGATCCCACATGAGGGCCAGTGACGCTGTGCCCTTTACAGCTAAGATGGTAAACAACAGCTCGACCTGGAGCTGGGCTGCCATGAGTTGCTTGCAACGGTGTAGGCTGCAGTGGGGCTGGCTGGCAGCTGGCGTGAGCTTTCGTGAGCTGCCATGAGTCGCTGTGAGTGGCAGTCCAATGGCCAGCGAGTGACTGCCTCACCCGGGAAGAGCGCAATGATAATACCAACATGGGCCAGTGAAGCGACATCCTCCACAGCTAGACTGAAGAACAAAAGGACAGCAACTTGTCTGTGCCCCTTCCCCGATTCTCCAATGAAATCTTTAAAAATAAATAAATAAAATAAAAAATAACTCAGATGATGTCAATCCTCCCTTCAAAATCTTCCAATGGCTTCCCATTTCAACCAGATCAAAAATCAAAGTTTTATCATTGCCCGCAAGGTCCTACACAATCTGACCTCTGCGCCTATGCAGCAAGGCCTTCCCTAACTTGTATTTAAAAATGCACCCCTCTCTATCTCTCCTCCTCTTTATGTTTCCTCTATAGCACATATCTCCATGTACTATGTATTCTACTTTTAAAAATATTATCTATCTCCCATCACTAAAGTATAAGATATGTGAAGGAGAGATTTTCTTTATGCTGTAATGGGACCTAGCACACAGTAAATATTCAATAAATATTTGTTGACTCAATGAATGAATCCTATTTTCCCCATCCCTACCACTTCTACCCGAATCTAGACTTGACTGGTCACCTTACCTCCAGTCTTGCTCTTTCAAAATGTCCTCCATTCAGCAGGCGGGGATGGTTCTAAAACGAAAGCTTGATGCCTTAACCCATATACCCTAGGCAATTTGGACTCTAAAGTTCCCAAGAAGAGATTTGGGGCTTTTGCCCTTATTGTTCTGTCTGCTGGGGAGCTTTTGAGAGTAAAGGCCCCCTCTTCTTTTGCCCAATTCATCCTTAGGCATCTTTCAGGTTTTGACTTAGATGTTACTTCTTTCAGGGAGCCTTGTAAAAATCTCCACAGACTGGGTTGGGCACATTTTCTGTGTGTATACCCTAGCACAGCCCTTTAATAAAGGGTTAAGACTAACTGAGCAATTACTATGTGCTGGGCATCTTATGTGCATTATCTCATATGATCCTTGCAAAAACTCTGTGAAGCAAGTATCCATTTGCAGATGAAGAAACTGAGGCACAAGTTAACTAGCTTGTCTTAGTAACACTGGTAATAACTGGTGAGACAGCATACTCCTTTCTCTTTTATGGCTCTTCCTTGCAGTTGTTCCTTGTCTGTTTTCCCTCACTGCACTAGAGATCGTTTAAGCCAGGACTGTGTCCAGCTTCCCAGCATATAGCAGAGTGTCTGCCACAGGTTTGTTGAAGGAACAAGTGAATGAACATATTTTCTATGTTCATTCTGTTCCCACAGTGGTATTGTAGAAGCTCAACAATGCACAGGTGGCCTTCCTCTGTTGTAAATGCTGTGACCCAGAAGGCCCATTCTCCTTCCTTTCAGGGCTCTAGGTACTGAGATGGGGTGCAGGCTGGGAGTGGGTAAAATTAGAAAAACAAAGGAATAGGGGTGCAGCTCTTAGTTCTCTGGCCCCAAGGCCACTACTCTCATCACGACCCTCTCAAAGTCTACCGTGTCTCTCAAGTTACTGAGAGAGCTATGTTCACACAAACCATGGACACACAGCAGCAGTCATCTTTCTCCTTCTCCCATCCTGTCCTTAGCTCTCCCAAAAGCTTCCTGGCACTAGGAGGAGAGGAGGGACTTGGACAGTCCCACCATGCCCCCATGGAAGAGGCCTGAAGATGGTTGCCCCTCCCAGACCACATCCTGACCTACTCCTGCAGTCCTGAAACACATCTCTTGCCAGCAAATCACTCCCCTCACCCCACCCTGGCTTCCCCACCTGCTCCCCCTCTGCAGCCTGCAGCTGCCCCACTGCCTGGAAGGCTGGGTTGAGTCACTTCCAGCATGCTTTCTCCTGGTCAGGCTAGTTTGACAAATCTCTCAGTCTCCCTAGCCCCTGGCCCTGTAGCCTGTGGGCCCTCCAGTCCAGGGACCCTGACTCCCCCAGATGGGGCAGAGCAGACACCTGGAGGAATGCACAGGTCTTTGGGAGGAGACATTAAAGATCACTTGGCAGATTTCTCCCCTCCCTAAATGTGAGGACAGAGTCTCTGCTCTAGGCTCAGGAGCCCTTCTTTTTCCAGAAACAACCCCAACCTAGTTCATCCTATCTCCTGGAATTACCTAAGCACAAGACCTTGCTGTTTTGTACTCTTTGGAGCAAGAACTTTACCTTGACCCTGAGTCCTTCTAGGCTAGTCAGATGAGGAGGATTAGATGAGCACCCCCACCCTCAGTCTCAAAAAGAAAGGGGAAGGGGTGTGGCCTGGGCCACCCTGATGTTGTTAGCATGGCTCCAGACCTCCCAACTCCCTTGCTCTGACTGCCAGAGGACTGAGGGCCCCAGAAAAGACCTGCCCCACTGCTTCAGGGGCCAGCCCAGTTCACGTAGTAGGCAGTCACAGGTGACAGAGGAGTGCTAACCTCCTCCTGGGTAAGGTCCTCAGACACAGCTGGTTCTCACAGAAGACAGGGAGGGGAGCTAAGAGTCCTTTCACAGGAGCTGACACCCTCCCCCTCTCCTCTTGTGATGCCCCACCAAAACCCCCTGGATACTACAGCTCCATCCTGAGGACAAGGAGAAAAGGCCCTGCTACTCCCCAGGACAGACAACCAGGCCTAGCAGGAAGGGGAAGAATGCGTGAGGACCCAGAGCAGTCCTGCAGGTTCCATAACCCTGCCTGGGTACAGGCCCTCTCCTGCCTGCTTCTAAGGCCCTAGGCTGTTGCCCTTTCTCCCATGGGCATTGAGCTCTGTTTTGCCACACCAGGCACTGGAGAGACAGGAGCTTCGGCAATCCAGGGAAGGACAATCCACCAGCCTCCTCACCTAAATCAGGCTCCGAGTAGTTGATAGGAAGGGTCACCAGTAGGTGTGCCGGTTCTGAGGCTGTTCCTCCACGCTGCTCCCAGGCTCTGGATTAGAAGGTTGAATTTAGATGCCTGGAGAGGCAGTGGCCGTCTTGGTCCTAGCTTTAAAGGGGCTCAGGGACTCAAATATGGAGGTGAGGAAGGCCCATCTTCCCAAGGGGAAAGGGTTTTTTGGTGAGAGGAGGGTAGAAGAGGAATGAAGTGGCAGTGAGGGTCTCCTTAACCACCTATTCATATCCCCAGATTGTGTTCCATGCTCTTACCCCCTTGACCTTAGAGGAATTCAAGACCAGTGAAAGAGAGCCTGTCCATGCAAGGTCATTTCTGCATGACTGAAGACTAGCTAGCTACATGATCCTATTCCTTGGCACCCCCTCCAGTCCCAACAACAGTCTTCCGGGACTTTCGCCGAGTCCAACCCACCCTCCCTGCTAGGGCCCCAGGTTTTCTGCTCCCCTACTCCAGGCAGCCAGAAACAAGCACAAGACCCAGCACTTCTGCAAATATGTTTAATGCACTTAGATTACACAGAGGAAGATGGGGAAAGAAGGAAACGACATCTAAGTGAGTCACCCAAAAATTCTTACAAAAGTTCCAGGCTGGCTGCAGCCCCCAGGAACCGAGTCGCTGTTGACATTAGAAACTAATATAAAATTTTACAAAAGTCTGCTCATTGCAGCATTCAGGTACTTATTAAAAAAAAAAAAAAAGGAGGGCTCTCTCTATAGGGCTCCTGACTTATAACAGAGACCCAGGTACCTCACTTGGCATGGAGGACCTGGAAGCCAGAGAGGAAAGACAACCAGATACAAAAATACAGTCAAGGGATTTCTTTACTGGTCTGCCCCATAGGGGCACTGACCTTCATGTTTTTTTCTCTGCTCTGAACTCAGTCTCAAAACCTAGTCCCAAGACAGTGTTTATTTTAAAAAACACTCTAGCCCTTTTAGAGTCGCTCCAAGGCTTCCCAGTCCCTGCCCTGGAGCCTGGCCTTTGGAAGAGAAAGAGGACAGGAAGAGGCACCAGCTCCCTGGCCAGACCTGAGAACTTGCATGAGCCTCTCTACCTCTCCGAATGGCAGATGGATCTGTGGTCCTCTTGCAGCCCACGCTGGACCTGAGGACCCACAGGAGTCCGCCTTTGGTAACAGGCAAACTGCATGGGGGAGCCCCTTCCTCGCAGAAGCTCCAGGACCAGGAACCTGGAAGGAGGGGGTCGGACCAGGCAAGCCTCAAGGAAGCCTGTGAAAGAGGCATACGAGGGAGGGAGGCTTCTTACCTCCCCATTCACTATGAGGTCAGGGCTCCCAAAAGGCTGCAGGGAGGGAAAGAAGGCGTACATTTAGTGAGCACCCACCACGTGCCAGGTGGTGTGCTGGGCACAGTACATGGTCAGCCTTGCTTGATTCCCAGTGAGGGTCCCGTCACCAGCCAGAAGCTCAATGGAGAGCACCTCCCAGAAAACCTCTAGGATGGCACCGCTGCCCAAGGGATAGGAGGTCTGGTCAGAGATGACAGGTGCCCTGCCACTGCCCCAGGGCCAGTGCACTGTAGGAAAAGGAGATGGAGGCCTGGCCCCTCCCAACCTTGCAGGCTCCTGACATAGTGAGGCAGAAAGGGGCCACCAGCTTCATGGGCTCATCGTCTCAGAGCTCACTTGCTTCTCTCCTGCCTCCCAAACTGATGATAAAGCTTAGGTCAGAAAATACCCCTTTTCCTGCCACCAAACCAGATACGTGGAGGCAGGGCCCCAGAAAGGAAGAATTGGTGGAGAGGGAGGTCAGCGTGGCAAGGGAAAGAGGCAAGCTGATGGTACCTCTCTGGCCATGAAATGTCAGATGATGAGAAATTTCAAAGGCAAGGATGCTGTGGTGGGCCAAGGCCAGGAACGACCTTTTGAAAAGTCCTCAGAGAAGGTTTTAGCTGCTGTCAACATCAGGTCCAGAGGGTTCCATCTTGGGAGTCCATCTCTCCCAATACTCCGGGCTGATCTGCCTTGATGCTCTGAGTTTGATGGAATTAACCAGGTAGCCCTAAGGGTGTGTGCAGGGAACAAGCCAGGCCCCTGAGGTCCCTTGGAAGTCCAACTCCTGTTCCCTGGAATGCCCACTCGCTGCCTTCACAGCACCTGGAGGCAGCTCTTTGTCTGCATCTCTCATCAAGAGAGGTCCTGCGCCCATGGGCTTCCTGTGGCACTCCTGGTGGTGCCTGTGTGTGTGGCAGTGTAGATAGGGGCAGAGCAGGTCCTGTGTGGGCCCTGACAGACAAAATTTTGCTTTGGACAGGCCTAAAAGGGTGATCTTGAAACAGCAGTCCCTCAAGTCAGGGGTAAGAGGGCATGAAAGGGGCTCGTTGATTCCAGGGCAGAAGAGCGATAACCCAAGAGGAGCCCCTAAAACCGTGGGCCAGAGATAGGTTGGCTTCTGGGAGGAAGACCATGAGAACTGCAGTACTGGGGCAAGGGACCAAGGACCATGAGAGGCCCAGATGTAGGGATGAGACAGGACAGGAATGGGGAATGAAAGCAAGATGAGAAACAAATGGATACAGGGAGGATGGAGGGTGGTAGAGTACAGTGTTTGCAAAATCAAAGTGAAAGACATGTTGAGAAGTTACTTTTTCTGATTTTAATATGCCAGAGTTCTGCAGCCTGGAGGCTGGGAGGTCCAGGGGATGAGGAAATGGAACAGGAGTGGTCAAAGGGCTGGAGACCCAGGCCCTGAGTGGCAGGTGGGGATGGTCTGTGAGGTGCTGGGCCTCACCCTCTCCTCGGCAGGCCTGGTTGGGTGGAAAAGGCCTGAAAGATGAGGTTGGGGCCACCTAGTCTCTGAGACCCTGATGGTCCTTGAACTCTGTGGGGCCCAGTCCACTTGGAAACCAGCACACCCCTTAAACTGGACTCAAGGCTGCATGGGGGAGTGTCTCAGCTCTCCCCCTGCCCCAGGCTCCACCAGGCCCAGCTGGGAAGAAAGGCCTCTCTGTGAAGCCAGCTCCTCCGGGCCCTGGGTTGGCAGGAGAACATTGGCCCCTTCTCTGGTGGCAGATTAGGGGGAGATGGCCCCAGGCCCCTGTCTGAGAGAATCAGAAAGTTCATCTGGGAATAAAGTTCTGTTTAAAAAACATTATATACACAGCTTCTGGACATCTTTGAAGAGCAATAAAATACCATCGGTTTCTACAAAATAAAATAAGGAGGAAGAAAACCAAACACGATCAAAGGAATTGTTCCGTGGCGAGAGGAGCTTGACTACCAAAACCAAAGGCTTCCGGGAGTTGAGCTGGGCAGTGCACCCACACGGCCACTCCACCTCCCTCCTGCTGGGCTGCACGGCAGTGGGTAGGTGAGAAGGAGGCCTGTCTCCACCTAGGGGCACATCAAAGGTCCAGAGTCACTTCTCAAACCAGAACTTGTGGCAACAGCAGGAGGGGAAGGTTTGCATTTGCCCGCTCAGTGCCCAGCGGGATCAGGGCCTGGTCACATGAGCTTGGCGCTGCAGGTGAGGTGGGGGCCTGCTGCCTGTGCACGGCATCCCACCAGGCTGCACAGTCATCCTCACACTTGCCCTTTTTTGGTGGGATTCTTACACAGCTGCTACATCAGAAGTCACCGGGGAGCAGCTGGGCTCTCCCTTGGCCCCTACAGGGCCCAGCCCAGGCTAGTGCAGTGGACTGTCGAACACCACGTCGGGTAGGATGGAGACTTTCAGCTTCTTTTCAGGCCAGTTGTACTCTTTGGGAAGTTTGAACTGTGGAGGGAGCAAGCAGAGAGCCAGAGCACACACGGTTAGCAGAACCCACTGCCTGCTTCCCAGACTGCCTACATTGTGGCAGGACCCTCACCCAGGCCTGCCCCCAGGTGCTGGGGGCAAGACAGGACACTGGCCACCTGGCTTCAATCTCAAATTCTAGACCCAGGTGGGTGGCTGGGGTCAAACTGCTAGAGTTCGGTGACCCCTTCTTCCCCCTTGCCTGGCCAGGGCAATAATTAACCAGGGTTGGAGGAGGCATGTTTTCTAACTCTTTCTCGACTGTGCTGACCTCCCTGCAGCTCACTTCCTTGGTTCTGCCTCTGGCCACAAGCATGTAAGGAATCTGCTCCCTGAGGCCCTGGGGCTGGAGGATGGGGGCAGGGGAGGGTGCGGATGCTATAGGGAAGTGGCTTGAGGTCTGGAATACTGCGGTCCTGTCTCTTTCAGAGACTGGTGCAGAAGGACCCTGGAACCTGCCCTCTGACGAGTCCGAGGGAAGGAGGCCCTGCTTGGCCTAGGTGGGAGCACAGGAGAAAACCCCCCATCCTGCTCCCCCTTGTTTATTCTCATTTGCTTCCCAGGATTACCAGTCTGAGAGTGGTCCAAGTGGTGGCCAAGGAGAGCCTATGGCCTTCTTACCCATCCCTGAGAATCACTGATTTGCTTACAGTTTTGTTTCTAGAGCTTCTGGTGGGGGTTAGGGGGAAGAGATTGACATATTTTATTCCCTCTGTATTCCGGGACCCTGCATGTGGCCTGGCACACAGCTGGTGCTCAATAGATGCTCACTGGCTTAGAAACAGGGTCTGTCTTTTCTGAGTCCCACTGTCCTGGGGCATGCAAGAAGTCCGGCCAGGCTAGACAGGAGGCCTGCCTAGCGCTGGGGCTGGAAGTGAAGAGGCCTGACACTTCCTGGCTGGCTCCCTCCCCCTCCCTCTGATGGGGGACTGTCCAAGCCAGCACTAAAGTGGAGAGTGGGGCAGGGTGGGGACAGCCTCTGGACAGGAAAGAAAAAAAAAAGTCATTTTTAGTGACCTACTTTCCTAAGCTTCCCCTGGCTCCTGTTCCTCCTGCCTGGACTGTCCCCCTCCTATCCCCTCAACACCCAAGCTCAAAGCAGCAGTCTGGCGCAGTGCCATCCCAGTGCTACATGGCCTCTCCGGAAGCGCTCTGGGCAGCTGGCTCTGGGCTGACTGAATGGGAGCTGGGCCTCAGGGACCGGTGACTTGCAGGGGTTGATTGGCTGGCACAGACTGGATGCTTAGTGACTTTTGAATGTATAAATGAGTTAATTTATCAAGCCGTATCCAGAGGATAGAGAAGACACTATCTTATTAGGGGTGACCTCAGGCTCTGAGGAGTTCCTGTCCACCTGGAGACCTGGACAGGACAGTCCCACCCTGTGCACTTTCTTCCACCCTTTGCATGTTGGAGGCCACCGTGTACTGGCTGATGCGGCCCTGGGAGCCCTGGCAGCTGGAAGCTCCAGCCTTGGCTGAAAACTCGCTCCTGCCTGACCTCTCTTTGGCTTGAAAGCCTGGCCCCTGGGAGGTGAAAGAGCTCTCCCCAAACACACTTCGCTGCAGAAAAGGCAAGGGCCTGTCTCTGCCACAGGCAGGAGAGGGCCTAAGAGAGCTCTCGGGAGGCTGGAGGCAAGGCCTTGCTAATGTCCCACTAACATATGGGGCATCAAGACCAGGAAGGCTCAGATCCCACTGGGGTGCTGCATAGTAGGAGGTCAGGGGAGGGGAAGGGACTTTCCAGGATGAGGTAAGTCCCGCAAATGAGGACGCTGGGAACAAGGAAGAAAAACAAAGAGAATTATGGGCTCCATTCCTGCACCCCCGAGTAGCCAAGGAAGGCACAAGCCCCCACCTGGTCTGCCAGCTCCTCAGGCTCTGGGCTGGGGTTAGAAGAGGCGGACCACAAGGGAAGAACTTATGGCTGGAGAAGGGAGGAGAACAGCTCCTGGGTGGCCTGAGGCAGGAACAGGAGTCCCTCGCTGCCCACCAGAACTCCCCAGTGGAATGTTCTCTGGCAGCAGGCAGGGGCTTTCTGTTCAGAACCTGCCAGGGAACAGCAGGGGCTGGGGAGAAACTCGTACTAGCCTGAAGGCCCTGGCTGCCTCTTCAGCGAGGTTCTCAGGAGCTGGCAATTCAGTTTGCTGGGTGTCCTTATGAGGGCTGGGGGTGGTGGGAAGACAGAGAGAAATAAGGCCGTTTAACATCTCCAGGGTCTCCTTTACAACCTAGAGAGGAGAGAGGAGAGAGGAGAGAGGAGAGAGGAGAGAGGAGAGGCGGGGGAGAGAGAGAGAGACAGACAGACAGAGGCAAGCGCTCCAGGAGACTAGAAACAGCTGTCAAGAGAGAATTGAACAGGCTTACTTCCTCCGGAGAAGTCAAATCTTCTAAGTCCTCCAACATTTTCTCTACAAACTCTTCGGTCAACAGAATCTAGGAAGAAAGCATAAGACAGGCTTTTGGTTTATTTTTTAAATATATGGTCTTTTTGCCAACTGCTAAACTATGGACCTTTCTGCTGGTCATGGAGGAAAAATGAGCCCACAGTGATCTGTTCTAGGGACAGAGGGAAGTGCTTGAAGCCTAGCGTAACTGTTGCCCGCCCCCACCACCTGCATGCAGCATCAGAGGGGGGGGGGGTGGAGAAGGAAGGGCGTGAGGAGGCAAGGTGGGGGCATCTGGAGGGATCGTAGTGCTGATCCCAGAAGACATATGGAAATGGGTGGGAAAATACCCTATTTTGGCAGTTTGCACCTCCTGCACGTCACAGTGCGGTAGAGGGGAAACAAAAGCCGAGAGGCAGAAAGGAGCAATTGCCAACATCTTTCTTGCCGATCCAGGTCACATGCCACCCCCTCCTTGGTAGGACAAAAAGAATGTTTGTTTTTGGAACAGCAGCCTTGTCTGGAATCTGGAAATGCCCCGGAAGGTACAACCAAGAATGTCTGAGCTGGGGAATCAGGAGACTGCACCAACCGCTTTCATTTTATAGATGGGAAAGGGCCTCTCAACTCCCATTTCTATGTGCAGTATCCACATTCTCTCAGGCTGGACAAGCTCCCAAACCCCTGTGCTGCAGGCCCCACTCAGCCACTGAGTTCTTCAAACTTCCTTCAAGAAACCTCTTCCCCAGGTTACCTCCCAGCTGTTCCACGTTGCTGCTCTAATCCGACACCTTGTCAATTTAGTGTTGATGTCTAGCACAGCCCGGCCGCACTATTAGGCTGGCACAACCACCCACCTCACCCCCTACAGTTTTTTGTGTTTTTTTTAAAGATTTTGTTGGGGAATCAGGGAAGGGGAACAGACAAGTTGCTGTCCTTTTGTTCTTCAGTCTAGTTATGGAGGACGTCACTTCACTGGCCCATGTTGGTATTATCATTGTGCTCTTCCCGGGTGAGGCAGTCACTCGCCAGCCACTGGACGGCCGCTCACCACGGCCCTTGGCAGCTCACGTCGACTGCCGGCCACTCACGCCGGCTCACCGGCCAGCCCCACTGCAGCCTACGCCTTCTCCAGCGACTCACGGCAGCCCAGTTCCAGGGTGAGCTGTTGTTCACCATCTTAACCGTAGAGGGCACAGCATTACTCACCCTCATGTGGGATCCGAACCAGGGCCCTGATGCTCAGAGTTAGCATCCCAAGCCAACTCCTAACCAACACACCACTTGGCCGGCCCACCCCCTACAGTTTTGACAGCCCATGGGAATGTCCGAGGGCACTAGGGCCTTCCTCAGCCCTATGGGCCCTTTTCCCAGCTGGCTCCTCTGCTCAGGTGGGCTCCGTAGAGCCAAGCCAAGCTCACCTCAGGCCTGCACCACACTGGGCCCAGGCTGAAGATGTCTTTTCTCTTGCCAAACTGACCCCTTCCTCTATCCCTCTCCTCCCTATGCTGGTCCATGGGGCCTCCTGGCCTCTGCACCAGACCCTTTCAGGCTATGGCTCTGCCTGCCTCTGCTTCGCCTCCTCCAACAGACTTTGAACACCCTGGGTGCGGCACAGAAAAAGACAGACAATGGGTGAAGACCAAGGTGAGGGGCTCCTCTGAGGGAAACCCCCCCATGAGAAGGATGGGATGAACCTGAGAAAATACCCATCAGATTTCCCCTGGGAGTTGTCCACTCTGATAAGAACACAAGTTTCAACATTTAGACTATAGTCAGCTTATGAGATGAAGTGAAATGGCAGAGAAGAGCAGCAGGATCACTATAGGGACCTCACAGGATGGAGGACTCCAAAGGAAGTTGATGCGGTGGAGGTGGGAGCAAGGAATAAAACTACCCCCACTGAGCAGGCCAGTTCCACACCAAGCACCTTGCTAACTGCTCGTTGTCTTATCTTCTCAGTCTCCTTACAGACGAGGAAACTGAGGCACAGGTAGGATATGTAATTTGCCCAACATCACATGTCTTGTGAGTGGCTGAGATAAGACCACATCTGTCATGTGTGGACTATAAAAGTTAGTGCTTGAAGTACTGCTTCCAATTCCTGAAGTCTTATCCCTTGATGTTCATGCATTTACGTATTCTTCCACTCATGCGCCTAGCAATCTAATCAATTCCATAGCATTTCCTGGGGGCCTCTGCAGGTGGAGCCCCAGGGACACAGGCATACGGGAGTCCATTCCCCACCTGAACACACCTGTTCCATTGGTTGAGAAGGAGTCAAAAAGACATCTCCTTCCCAGATGGCAAGCACACAGTCAGGAACAAGACAGCTCCGACCATTGGCCTGCATCTCCTCACCAAAGCTTCTGTTGGAGGAGCTCAAGCCTCAAGTGAGGACACACAGGGTTCAGACAGGCAAAGCTTTTCCAGGGAACTGCCCATCCAAGGTGCCCCTCCCACCTTTTCTTCCTTGAAGTTCTCCATGGTGGGGCTGGCTGACTCCTCTCGCAGACTAGTGACCCATTCCCAATCACACTCGTCCTCCCATAGCCTGAGCCCTTGCTCCTTCCCCTCTTATACCAGTCTCCCCCCCCCCGACCCCCCCAAGTCCAGAGTTTCTCTACTAGTTATCACCAGTCTGCTTAAGTAGTACAAAAGTCACATTCATATTTTTGGCATTTCCGGGGCTTGCTGCCATCTCTGCAAATGCTAACACAAACAAGCATACCTAAAACCCAGTTATATTACAATGGCTCCAGTCCGGGCTGATTTCTAACCCACAAATAATTTGGAGGGAGAGACTTTCTGCCAGAGAGATAAATAGGTCTGGGACTGTAACTAGTGCTGGGAGTAAGATGAGGTAGAAGAGGGCTTACAGGGACTGTGGCCACCCAGTGACTCCAAAAAACATTGCTGTTTTTCAACAATGGGAAAGGTAACGCCACCAACAGTGAGTTCAGTCCTAAGCCAGTTCCTCTGACAAAGGTCTGGAATTGGTGGTGGAGAGAGTTAGTAAAACAACTACCAAGGGCGTAGCGTACCATCTGTGTGTGGACTTATTTTGTACTCAGCTGGAGGAGGGGATGGTGGGACCAAAAAAGGGGACAAACCCTAGTCGCCAATTTTCACTTTTGGTGATTTGCTGGTTCCTGCTGGAAACTTCACATTATTTTAAGGGAACTAAACGGGGGGGGGGGGGGGGAGATATGGGATTATACATGGGATCTGCATATTAAGGATGACATTCCCTGCAAAGAAACACGACAGACTGTCATAGCTCCAGGCACCTAATTTAATTTCCTTTGGGAGTTAAACCTTAGACGCTTGGATTCAACAAACAGGCCCTGTTCTTTGTATATTTCAGACCTGGAGCTGAGAATGTTAACAGATCTTATCAACAGGACACTGGAGATAGACAGCTATGATGGAGTGGCTCCTGGGCGCTCTCACGAGTAACAGACCGGCCGTTGTGATACAACTGTGGGAAAAGCCTGTGCAATTCTGGGGCTTGGGGCTCTTGAAGCTTACTGGGTCCCCATGGAGCTGCCTGGCTCTGCCACAAATAATAACAGGAATGTTTATGACAATGACAATAGTAATGATAAAACTACCAAAAGCAGGAGCAGTACCCGCTCCGTGTGCCAGGCACTGGGCTTAGTGCTTGACCTGCATCATTTCACTGAATCCTTATGGTGGTCCTGCAAGGAAGGAAACTATCATCTCCATTTTGTAGATCAGCAGGTATCAAGAGGCGACAAGTCTCCTGGACTTCAGAAGAACAATGATCTAACCTCATGGTGGTAGAGGAACTCTTTTTCTGTCTGGGGAAGGCACCCCAATTCTAGAAGCCTTGTATACTCAGGGGTGACTCCTCTCTCTGATCTGACGGGGAAGATGAAGATGACTTTGTATTAGACCAATGGCCTGGAAAACCAGCAATTCCAACCCCAACCAGCCACATATTTTTTGGCCACTTGCTGAGCTGAACAGGGCTGGAACCCTGAGGGTCACAGACATACAGCTGCTCAAAAACCAGGTTGGCCAATTGGAAAGGAAGGCAAACCATGCCCAAAGATGGGTAGGGACAGCAGGGCCACTATCCAGGCAGCTTGGTGAACGCATATGTAAAGCAACAGTTACTCTAGCCTAGAAAAAAGCAGTAGAAATAGTAATGAAAATGATAATAGCACTCATTGAAATCTGCATTCACCAAAAGCTGGTTATAAAATGCTCATATTTGTGCACAAACAGCCCTTGGAGGGAGGAGGCTCTAGTGAGAAGGGAAAGCCCCCCAACCAAACTCCCCTGGGAAACTTTTGAAAACAGGGAGATGCTAGGCCCCATCTAGACTTTCTGAATCAGAATATCAGGGCAAGGTCAAGGCATCTGCATTTTAAAAGGCACCCCAGGAGATCATGGTGGGGGCAGTGCTGGGAAATACTCAGGCAGGAGGTTTGGGCACAGACTTAACCAATAGGGGTGAGTTGGTGGCTATAGCTCCAACCACCGCTATTTAATTGGCTGAGCTGTGAGGGGAGTAGTGGCTCCCGGCCCCCCACCCCCACCCCACCTTGGCCAGGGAGGGGGCTTGGAATCTGGTCCAACAGCTTGTGCCAAGGTGCTCACACCAGGCGCCTTAGGACAGCCTGGCTGGTTGGTGATGAGGGAGGATTGTCAACAACCGCCCAATTCCCCAGGCCCCAGCAAGTTCCAGAAGGAACTCAAAAAGTGATCTTTCGTCAGTGCCTGTCCTGGGCAGGCCCAGCTATGCTACAGGCAGAAGCCCAGATGCTGCAGATCTGTGGTCAGTGATATTTTTAAGTCTGCGAACAGCGCTGACAATGCCCACTCCTTCCCCCTGGTATGACAATCCTCACTTTGTCCAGGGCCTTGTTTGCTCTTCGTGTTGACACGTTGTTCTTGCTTCCCAACAAGTTTGGCTTTCTTTTTCCCTCCCTTTCCTTCTCTGAGGGAAGGAAATGTGTTGTTTACAGGGTAGGGCTTGCCAAGGAGCTGCTCTGGCACCCACAATGACGGTGGAGGAGGCAGCGATGAGGAAGCAGTCCAGTCTGTGTCCCCCTCACCCCAATAGACCAGACATAAGCCAGCGAACGGCCTGGAGACCCTCCAGGCCGGGGAGCAGAGGTGTGTGTGGCAGGTAGGGCTACAGTGGCAGCAAAGCGAGGCCTCACTCATTTCCTGCTCTCAGTGGGTGGTGAGAAGTTGGCTTTGGTGGCCAGGAGCAGGCTCAGACTCCTCCTGCTCTGTCTATTGGCTGGTGAGGGCACAGTGGGCCTGCATAGTCCTCTCCTGAAAGGGAGGGTGCTGTACTGCCCCAGGCACAGTGCTGGGATTTAAGCCCTCATGGGTGCACCCCTGGACAATGAGGTCCCCTGGACAATGAGGTCCCCGTGACAGTTCAAACAAAGGCATCCAGGGAGAACAGGCTGTGGCCAGATTCCCCCATGGAAGGAGAAACAGAGGCACTAAAGAGGAGCTGCCCAGGGCCCGGGCCAGGGACTGCCACGTGTCTTCCACACAATAGGCAAGTGGGTGGATGAGGACAGGAGAGGGCAGGGGCTTGTCCAGAGGACAGTGGTGAGTCAGGTGCTGGACTAAGAGAAGAGCTCAGCAGGGAGTCCCCAAACCTGGCCTGGAGCGGCAGAGCCAACTTGGAACAGCTGCTGGGCATCTTCTCCCAAGCCTGGGACCTCCCATCAGGGGTGGTAGGGAATGGGGGTGCCATCTGAGTGAGCTGTCAGATACCACCCAGATGAGAAAGCATTGCAGGGCTAAAAAAAAATTCTCATATTTGGTGATGTGACCCTTATGTGACCTCTGGAGACGACGTCTCTCCCTTCAGATCAATCCTGGCTGGGGATGGACGAACAACTCAGCTCTGGGCCAGGCTCCCGCTCAGAGGACTAACAGCCCAGTGATGACAGACTCAAGGGGGAGAGAGGCTTGTTGCTGGGGAAAGGTGTGCAGGAGGGGATGCTGGCAGGCCTCCACCAGGGTCTGAAGACCTTTCTGCAAAGCTCCAGAGTCGGCTGATAGGCTTTACCATCTCAATGAGGGTGAAAACAGCAGGCAGTAGGGCAAATGGAGTCACGGTGTTGATCTCTGGAAACTGAGGAGCCTGTGGCATTGGAGCAGGATTCCTGCCTCTCCAGCTCCTCCAAGAAGCAGGGAGCATCCACTGCACTCAGCCTGGGCTTGCAGATGGCCCTGCTTTTCTGTATCCTAGAGCCTTGACTTTCTTGGGGCTGGAGAAATGGGGGAGGGAAGCATGGAGCGCAGGTGCAGGCCCAGGATTAGGTGGGTGTGGAGGTCTGTCTGGGGTTGGGGCTACTCTACAAGCTCCAGAAAGGGCCCAGATTCCCTCACCTTCTGCCTTTTTCTCCCAGTCTCTTTGTCACTCTTCCCCCATGTGGGATGTCTTTGCCATGCCTTTTCCCCATGAGATAACAGGCCTGGGCTGGCAGCCAGAACAAGGTGCCAAGGCTGGGAATGAGGGCTTCCAAGGCTGCCGAAGGCTGATGCAAGAAAATCATCCCAGCCCCTCCCAATTCAGCTGGGACCAACAGGGAGGTTCAAGTAGCAGCCAAGAAAACAGAAGTCTGGGTCTCTCACAGTCCTGGGTCTGCTGCATTTGCTCCTTCCTGCTTCTCTGCCCCCAACAGGCCTGGGCACACAGGGGCCAAGGAGACATCCCCAATCCTGGAAGCATGAGCAAGAGATTCCTGCAGGGAGTGAGGGCAGGTCTCTGTGTTAGGGTCTCCCTTCAGAGGGGCCTGGTGCCCTTCTTGGCCCAGTGGAGTGGCCCTCACTGGTGATGAGCCTAACCCCTGCAGATTCCCAGGGAGACAGCCAGCCCCAGAGGAAGACCTAGGGGCCCACAAGTAATTACAGGCCCAGGTTCCTACAAGCTAAAGAGCTGCCTGTGACCACAGTGCAAGACCCTAAAGGGAAGGCAGGCTGGTAGTCAGATGCAGAAAATGCTGACTGCTTTGGGGGTGGGGAGGAGGGCTGTTGTGTGTGTTGGCTCCACAGCTGAGGACCCGCTGGGGGCAGGGCAGAGGGTTTCCCAGGACTTCTTGGAAAGGGCCTGAGAAACCCCTTGGTGAGTGAGGGTGCGTGCTTGGGGAGTGGGGCCCCAGCCAGCCTTCCTGGGAGCTCCCCTGTGAGTTGGCCCCTGTGGTGGACCACACTAATGAGCCCATAACACAGGCCTTTGATTAAGCAGCTCCCAGCACAGCAACTTTATTGAAACATGCCGAGGCCAGCGGCTGGTTCCCACCGCTCCTGGTTCCCACCGCTCCCGGTTCCCCAGGCAACAGTGCATGGGAGGGGACCATGTGCATGGGAGTCAGTGGTGCGAGTGCTCAAGCTCACTGGGGGGCTGCCAGGGAGTCGAGGAGGGGTGGAACTGGAGTAGAATGCCAGCAGCTGGGGGTAAGGGGCTTGGGAATTGGGGTTGGGTCCAGAATTTTGGGGGGACTGGGGGGCAACATGACATCTGCTAAATCTTCTGTGGCCATGGTCCCCAGGCTGAGAATTGGAGCTATGTACCACCCCCCTCTTCAGGGCAGGAAGATGTTTTAAGAGGTGGGACTCCAAAAACAGGTTCAAAGTTCAGGATGTAAAACGTAACTGGGAGGAATTTCTTGAGTTTTGGGGGACTCCAGTCTACTTTCCCAAGAAAGTGTACTCGACCTTTAATACATACAAATGTTATCTGAGGACAGCTCTGCTAAGACCTGTCAGCAATCTGTCATCTACGGGGAATGATGACCCGTGAACTCTCAGGGGCTGGGGTCTCCCGCGTGGTCCCCACCTTCCCTCTCCTCACCAGCCCTGCCCAGGCAAGAGGCCTGTTCCCTTCCAGCTGTCCACAGAGGCAGCCTGGCAGCCTGGGGCACTGCTGGGGGTGGGTGAGGGTGGGGGGTGGGGAGGCCCTTTCCACTTATGCTGGGCTAATTTCAAATGTTACACTTCAGATCTTTTGCTACAGTAACTACCAACACCTCATGGACAGAAATCTAATGTTACCAAGAGGGACTTTTAAAATGTATTTATAACTTTATGGTTCAAAGTAATTTTGTTATGAAACAATGTAATAACAACAGTGGAAAAAGGCAAGATAATTTATGGAACACAATATCCCTAAAGCACCAGCTTCCATTTCTACCTCAGCTGAGTCGGGGGAGTGTGGTTGGTGTCCTTTGTTTGCTGTTTGTTTTAATTAAGGGTTAGTATTTGGTGTGGTGGTGGTGGTGGTGGTGGTGGGCGGGTG